CTGAAAGATCAGCATTGAAGTCTGCAAAATACTTAAATTCATAGCTGTACTTGGTTATCGATGAAATAAACCAGGATCAATTCACTGTCAACAGAAACCAAGTCCTGTTTCTCAAAATCCCATGACAGGTCATCTGGAAAACGTCGGTCGACCTCCTAATCTCGATTTATTTATCCTCATTGAAAACTGCTTTCGAAATATATTTTTCCCTTAGTTCGCTTCCTCATAAACACATCTTCATTTCGTTAGAAGGTATTTAGCTGCTCGTTGTTTTACATCAAAGAGAAAGGAACATGAAATGGATTATGTCAAGAAGAGTAAAAATAGACACACAATCGTCGGTAGGCAGGAAGGCCTGGGCGTTGGAGGGAGAACATACAAAAGAGGAACGAAACAGTCAGGCTGTGCAAAAAAATAACTATGCACAGGATGAGGAGACCAAACAATTTGGACAGTGCGATTTAAAAAAACGAGAGATAAACGGCCAGCGGTGGTCGGAATATCCTTGCGTTGTATGAGAGTTTTCATTCAAGTGCACTGATGATCTTCAATAAGTTGGTCGTCTCACTGCAGTATCTGTGATCAGCCTTATTCCCTCGTATCTATTATGATTTACCGGATGAACCTGCAAGCATTGCTTTTATTCGCAACAACCTTTTCTGGTCTCACCACTCCAACACACGTGTTTAGGAAGGTGAAATTATCTACACGCTCTATTATGCTCATAAATCAACTGTTTATCTCCAAGAGTACACCATGGTACTTTGCTTTCGCTTGGCTCAATTATTCGCTGTTATTTTGTCACGTCTAAACAATAAAATACCTCAGAATCATATCCCGATGGCTGAGATTACAGTATGCATTATATCACACATGTGCACCCTCCACAGCTTGTTGCCAAACATACAAATGGTCTGTTTTCCTCTATAAATTTATATTTGTCGCAAACGCAGAACGTTGAGCATATGATCTGAACGCAGTCTTTTGCTAACCCATAGCTATTTACTGTTGCAGTATTGTTATGAATTCAATGCTTTGACTGTGTGGTTTTATTGACAGCTTTACTATCTGATATTACGATTTATAGGTTATTTGGACTTGGGATATTCACTCCCTGAAGTGCATAAATTAATTACGAGACTGAATTTTATAAAGTGACACATTTCCTCTAATCTCAAGTAGTGTAACCACTATAACACGGTTGTAAATACAGTCAAACGGGCTTAAATTTTGTTTACGATTGACTGTAGGTCTTGCCGTTTGGTTATTTGGAGATTTATGATAATCATGAGGGATGCGGAAGAAGCTTTGCATCTGAGCATTTTTGCGCTTATGCATCATCTGATCTCAAGTGGCCCAATCAATTTTTGAGTAGCTTTATACGGTTAATTACTGATACATTGTGTTAGTTATTTATCAAAATTCGGATTGCTTGATAAGGTTAAATCAGACAGTAATGCCCTATGTTTTTGTGGCGGGGCTTTCCCGACAATAGTGCTTGCAGTACCTGGACTAACCTTTTAGGCCGATGGGATGTTCCAAACGCGTTGATACGAAAAAATTGATTCGATGTCCAAATACACTTTACAACATCCAAGAGGTATCGTCATTTACATCTCTAACTTTTGTTCTACCTCCTTTTTTTGAATATATTATGGTACAATTGTTAAGAAGAAGGAGGCAAGCAATCACGTCTCTGTTTCAAAATTTAAATTTCCACACATATATCACCTTTAAGAGAAAGTACGATTCCGTTGTTTGACACATCATTCTGTTCCTTATTGAATCAGCCAGCAATTCCGTCAACATCAGAAGGCATTTGGCAGGCGCCGTTAATAGTGTTCATCAATCTTTTATACCCCCATACAGAATTCTCATTTGATAGAATTACACCCATTATATTGCTAGCTGAAGTTCTAATGGTAGTAACTGCAACCATGATTTTCCCAATGATATCCGCTTTCTAAACACAAATCGAAGGTAACATACTACTACAAAGACTAAAAAGCATACCAAACAGAGAAAGGAATCGAAAAATGTCAGAGTTTGGACAGAACAGATAAGAGTAAAACCGGTTATCATAAGAGTAATATCAATTGTTCATTCTATCTGTTTTACAAAAATCTAGTAATCAGTATTCTCTGATGATGACTGATCATATATACAGATCCCTGCTTTGGTAGTCAGGTTTTATTACCAAGTCAACAGCATCGGGAACTGTTTTGCTTCTAAGGTGTTTTTTCTCTCAGGTACAATCTTGTTGAGCTCACTTGTTGAAGGCGATATCTGTAACAATAATTTTGATCCCCGAGAACCTCGTCGAATACACATTTGATCCATTATACAGGAGTGTTTAAGTGTTTCCATTGTCGATGAAAATATCATTCTCTGCTAGTCCAAGCCATTGAATCTCAGAAGATAGTTCATGTCACATTTGTCGGTGAAGTAATATCAGTGAACAGTGAAACAACAAATACAGTCTTATACATTCTGAATTCATTTGTTAATTGTCGTTGGACAATGTTTTTAAAGGAATAAGTAATGTGCACAGTGGATTAAAAGTAGCTCACTTGTTTGGAACGGGGCGACCGAGTAAACTCAGTGTAAAATTAACATGAACCAATGAGCTACGTCATTTTCAAGAAGCGATTTATTTTGAGGAGAGAAGCATTATTTGTGTCCCTGAAAATTTCGCCGCATCTCAACGGGTACACAATGTAGAAAATTACAGATTCCAGACTGGGTTCAAAGTAAGGTTGATACGTATCGGGATCACCACATCCGGTTATTTATATTGACCTTGAATACAAGACACTAATCTCCTCAATGGCCCAGCATTTGGTGATGAAGTACACAGCTTCCTCGATCGAGAGAAATCGTTTCGAATGATCCACACTAACGAAAATGGCCAATACTCATGGTTAGCGATGCGGTTGCAAGTGATTGGTGGTATCCCATTCTGTGTCAAAAAGACATGTTTATCATCCTAATTTTGCAATGTACATCCCAACTCTATAGCGATTGTGTTTCTGTGCAATAGTTTAGCTGCAGGGAAATCCTCCATGACGTGAACCATGCACGTTGCTATACTGGTTTCTCTTTTCAAATCGATCACACAAAAAGCTTGTTTCAGTTTTTTGATTCGTATTTGGCATAGATTGTTTCTTTGCAAATATTTAGTATTGTTTAGCAGAAGGCCTTATTTTTCAACATAGCTTTAAATCTGTTTTTAGTTGGCACATTCTCCGAAAGTGAATTTGAATGTTTCGGTATTTAACCTTTGACTAGTGTGTATAAGTAGTCTAGTAATAACTAACAATATCCTGATATCGCATGGCAAACGACAGAATTTCAACGTTGAATGGTTGTTTACTCAAGGACTGCTCAATACTGTTCTGTTTTTCTGTGTACAACTGTATATCTCCGTTCTAGGTTTGAATGGATCTCAGTATTACACGTCATTCTGTACCGGCATGTTTGATTTGTTCGTTGTAAAGAATGTCCACCACACCTCAGCATATTTCACTCTCTACTTCCGGAGGCCACCACCCAAGAACAAATAGGCGATGGGGATCAATCGGAGGGCAAGATACGTACCCGTGGCGCAAACAACCTGCGAACGTGAACCCTGCCTGGTCTGTATATATGTCCCAGATTGCTTGCCCCCTCCTCTTGAGTTCCAGTTTGTACGCCTTTCCGAGGACGTGCGATTAACGATTTCGTTCCTACGTCACCTTCTTCTTGTTCCTGATTTGGCTTGTCATGACCCAGATGGATTGTTATTTCAAACAAACTAATGGTGACTGCCATAACTCTACCGGCGCTTATTAAATTGCACGCTGATATCACTTGATCTAGAGTAAATCTATTGACTACCAATTTCTGTAACGTCACGGTCACGTATTAATAAAGTACCCCAGCACACAGTATTTTCTGCGTCCACCCGGACAGCGCGTAAGATTCGATTTGATGTTTTCGAGTTAACCGCTGATGCAGCTAATTTGTTTCTGCCGGGTTTAGGCCACGAATTAATTCATTCAGCTCAGTGCATTCTTCCATTAGATTTGTTGGCTACAGATTACTTTGGTTAGTTGAATTAGATGCCCCTCTAGTTTCATTTTCACGCACAGTCCATGGTTTATTCAATTCAACGCAAAGACGGTGACGAGCAGCAATGGAAGCAAATTTCGACTTAGTTACTTTCCAATTTTCCATGTGACTGAAAGAGCTGACGAATGGGTGTGAAGATAGAGTATGTTGGATAATCGCTCAAAAATGAAATGATACTTCTTTCACTTGTTCATGCTAAATTACGCTTGCGCTAAGTCTCAAGGAATCTCGGTTAATCAGAGCAAAGAGTATCTCTGTTCCAGTGAAAAATTAGATTCAAGCAAAAAGCATGAAAATACCTCACTATTATCATTATATTACGGATTTATGAGGTATACCCCCGTTCAAACGTCTCTTTGTTTAAGCTTACACAGTTACACATTGGGTGTAGAATACGGTCTTGCATATTTGTGCCGTGTCACTGTTAGAAGACATACGAATTATTCACTAGTGCACCATCAATCAATGATGGGGAGGGATGGGTAACCGTTTCACAAGCAGAAGCATTTATTCCGACCTAGTTTACAAAATTAATCCTAGACTATGTAGCACAATGTCCATAAGTCCAGTCCCAAACTGGAATGAGTCGCAATGTCCATTCGTACCCAATGTACATTCAGGTGTTTTTTGGTGTACACAATTACTGCATGAAAAAAATTCGCAAAAGAGGAAGAATAATCAGTGGGGAAAACCACTTTTGTTGTAAAAAAGCTTTGGTATTTCACTGGCCGCTATGAGCCGATGTGCGTGAAGTGATACAGTGATACATTCGTCATGAGCGGGGGAAGATGGAGGAGTTTGAATTGGTCAAGTTGGTAACAGCTACCTATACAGTTCATTCATTTGATAGGTAATTGTAATGTGCTGTTGTATCGAAAACGGGTTATGCATCAGCCGCCTTCTTGCAATCGACCAATTAGTCCCAGTTGAGGAGACACGTTCGGCATATTGGGCAGTTGTAGCACTGTGGTAAAAAAAGAAACGCACGATGATTCATCATGTGCAACCTGAGACATTATGTATGGTTAAATACAATTCGCAGTAGTTTTTTTCATTTATTAGTAGTATAGTTATTCGATGAAATTGGACCCATTCATCTCACCCGTACACATTTTACGAGCATTAAGTCTTGACTGCATCGGGCATACTAAAATGATTACTGTACTTGAATATTTAGTTTCACGGTAATTATCATCATTAGTGATCACTTTACCGCAACCTAGTTTTTACCCCGTAAAATTACGAGTGTTTACATTTCAGAATGAGATAAATTCCCTTTGTTTTTTTATTCTCTTTACTTACTATTAGTTGAATGAATCATTCTGTACACAACTTTTAGAAGGAGGAAAGTAATCAATCAACGCATTACTATATGATATATGGAAAAGAAATACTGAGAAAGGCTTAGGGGCACTTGTATAGCTCTGGGGTGATATGGAAATTACAAACACCACATCATCATGTCCTCCCAAATGGGTTGTTAACATCGCCATAAAATTAAAATTTGACGTAAACCACAAAGTCAAAAAAACAAGTTCCAACTTCTGGAACATCCTCAGTATTCCAAATCCATCGAATCGCCTCAGTAACCCTGTGGGTAGAACGTAAGCATGCCAGTATCAGGGTACCTCGTCAGATTACTTTGCTCCATCTATATGCGAAGCGGTATGACGATCTTTGCCTACTTGCCTCCGGTACCGAGAGCAACTTAAATGAAGTTTAATCTATCAAACGCACAGCCATGAAGTAAACAAGTCAAAGAATATCACTTTTTGAACAAGGGATCCGCTGTTTCATATGAAGTTTGATTTTCGGCTGGTTGAACGATACCGGTTTAATACATTTACCTGTAAAAAGTAAACTCGTTTGGTGAGCATTTGAGGAAGGTGCTCTATCGTGGATGCATGGATAAAATGACCCATGGATTGACCGATAAATCAATCATAAGTATACCCAAGTGCATGCGTTTGGCCTCGACATCAGATGGTCACCTCTGATATATGTACTTTGTCACGTTCGCTTGACCTGATCCATGTTTGTGTCGCTTGTCGCATCAGACGCTACAGTCAGTACTATTTGATCCGAGGCGAGAAGTCATCCGTGATAGTTTCTAACACATGCACCTGTGAGAATGTGACTCAAAATATGATATGCCTGATTACTAGGAGTCGCCAGCTATTCATGTATTGTAGCCGGTCAGTTGATATCACCTGAGTTTCATGCAAGATATGGATGTCTCAAAGATCGATCGTGACGTAAGAATACAGATAAAATTAGACGTGGAACAGAATTATATTTGTATTACTCAGTGTGAGAATGAAGTCGAAAGTAGTAATTCATCGCTTTGCTTCATACAGAATGAGAATTGATACCTGCTTGACCATAATCTGGGATTATTGTCTCGTGAGAAGAACAACATGATTGGATGAGCTATGATTCTAAACGCACAGTGGACTTGAAAACGTTTGACTGTAATCGACAAATACTACAGAAAGTATAATATTATGACCTTCAGAGAAGATAATGCAAAATTATTCATTGGAGCAGGCCATAACTTGGCAACGTTTCCTCTCAGTTAAACTCTAACTCCTCTCAGCGAACAATACGAACGCAGTTTGATTAGGTGTCAATCCCATAATCAAAAGCAATATCATTTAGTTACCCGACTTAGAACCAACCTAGAATTCTCGATGAACGGACTGAAATGAGTCAAGTCATGTTTCCTTACCAAGCAGCCTGTTATTTGCTGATGTTTCCGAAAACGAACTGCACAGTAAAATTAAACCGGGTTTTAGTGGACTACGATCGGTTAGCAAGTAATATCCAGAAATTTCATTGCACTCAAACACTTCATTTTATACCTCCGGTTGATCCAGTCAAATTGGGATAAAAGAATCGATTTGAATACCGAGGAATAGTCATCTATATAAAATCAGTCGATTGTGTGTTTGAGCAACTTTGATATTTAACCGTGTATGTTGGAACCAACTCGAAAATCACATGACCCCACTGTGAGGTAAATTGTCTAACCTTATAAAGTGACAGACCATTAATTGCGACGATCGATTTCACTAGTGCTCTCCATAATTCAACCTCAACGCTCCATATCGTGCTCCTCCAGGTGAGTAAAAAGGATCACGTAGGTGATACGCGTGATTCTATCAGGTTACATAACATCCCACGCAGAAACTCGGATCTAAACTTTGTACGATACAGAATCCATCCGAATCATTCTCGTTAGAAAGGGATGGTGATCTGGGCTGTTTAATACACTTATTTTCGTCAGTTGTTCTCCACTACAGTAGACCGCCTATCAAAGACGGTAACTACCCCATAAATAGTAGTTGATATCAGTAGTTATAAACTTTTAGGAACCGAAAAAATCAGTTTGTGAGTCACCGAATAAACAATCTATCCGCCGGAACCACGTTTTGTAGTGCATGTCTTCTTGCAGCAAATTTTCAGTGTTGTAATTGTAGTGAGTGACACAGTTGGTTTGTCAAGCTCACTGACCACGCGGTTTCCGTTTGCCACTCAATATACATTCAATATTTCTATCAAGCGGTAGCTCAACTCTCCAGAGAGAACAAAGTAAACAGAAACGTTTCCACTATTGGAGACGTATAGATTAGTATATGCGGGGCTTGAGCCTCTATTCCACATGCGGCCAAACATCAACTGGCATGAACTTTATTGCTGTGCACGTGGAGTTGGTCAACACGACTTGAATGGGGGACAAAAAGTAACAATGTGCACGAAGTTTGTTTTCGAAAACGGGCGTATCGATTAGGATTGTCAAGGTCTAGTGTTTCATGTGTACGCAATGATTACTTGTTGTCCAGATGAACATTATTATCCCTGTTAATTCCATTTTAATAAATAATAATAATAATTGTCTAGAATGTAGTACTGAACCATCAGAATGAATTTCACAACAATAAGAACAATAAGAATGGTATGTTTCTGATTTCAGAAATTGAATTTCTTAGGTTAAGTTGACAAATTCACTCCATTTATTAAATATTGTCTCCATTAGAACTGTACGGTTCGAACAATTTCGTTGGACATCATCCAAAACGAGGCAAACGGAAGCGGTGTGAACTGGTTTATATTACTAAACGAAGTTATGTTGCCCGGTACAAATTCGGTTAACAAACATCTGGAGACGATCAGATTTCTACACAAGTTTCATTCCACAGACTCTATATTTGCAGACAGGTTTGACTGCAATATCAGAGAAAACTTTTCACAATTTCACGGCCACTTTGTCGATGCCGTCTTTTGATACCATCGCACAAAATTATCAGGTAAAAAGGCTTCTCAGTCCTGAACACGCCAAAGCCCTATCGGAATGGGAACAAAACATGGAAATCGTGATTTTA